TAGTGGTAAAAGCTGTCGTTATTGTTCATTTTCATTTTTCTTTACAATACGGATAACAACCCAACATAGTAAACTCATACCATGATGTAAGGAACCTTTAACGAAACGACTTCATCCTTCTACTGATACTAAAGGAATAAAGTCAAAATTTGAAACAACGTGGGCTCGAATCCCGCCGTACTGTTGAGTGAAAAGTTACAAATATATTATTAAAGTGAATTTTCCTTATAGACGAGAGGTATTACGAGTTTTTCTGTCACGAAAGGGCAGAGAGTTCACTAGAGTACCGGTGGCGTGTGCTGTGCTCAGCTGCTGTTTTCTTACCTCTGCCCTCCACGTAGCTGAACATCATTGCCTCTATTTGTTACCGCGCCATTTGTAGTATTTTCTAAAAGATGCTTACAATTGAATGACTCGAATTTATTAAAAAGAGGGGGTAACCTTTTTAAAATAAATCCAGTGGCACTTATTGTGAATGATACATGTGGTTTGTTCAAAAAGTCAGTTCTAATTATGACATCATAACTAACTATAACGTCGTCGATCTTGACTGCCACATTCGAAGTGGTGTTGCTTGTTATTTCATTGCCCATAAAACACGTAATAGTAACATTTTTTCCTTCAGTTTGTTTTGAATGTACGTGTTTAGCGACTGACTTTTCCATCGAAGTGCACGTACTACCAGTGTCTATTAGGCATTGTACTTTTTGCTCATTAATAAAGCCGGTTTTTACGTAAACGTTTTCATTTTTAGAACTGGAAATAAGATGTAATTCTTTCGTGTTATTGAATTTAGGATTTCTCGTTTGGAAGCTTGTTTTGTTTTGTCTCTTGCAATTTTCTTTCTTATGACCGTAAAAATTACAAATTTCGCATTTTATAATGGGTTTCTTGCAAAGTTTGACGCGATGGTCGCCGCCACAATTAAAACATGTTACCGAATGAGGTTTAGGGAGTTTACTTTGGGAAATTTGTGTTTTTTGTCGGACTTTACTGTTCCGATTCCTGTACTTCCTTTATTGACTTTTCGGTTGACGCAATGTTTTGTAAATACGCGGCCAACGGTCCAATGCTACGGAATTCAGCCGCCCGGGCTGATAGTTGGATGTTTGTATTAGTAATACCCTGAATTACACTGTCGACGAGGTAGTGTTCAGGGATTGAAATACCTAAATTTCTCAATTTCGAAACTTTTTCAAAGCAATAACTATTTAAATTTTGTCCAGGGGATGAAGTGTATGTAGCTGCCTCGACCAACAGCTTACCGAATTGAATATTACTTGGGAAAGTGTCCAAAAGAAGTGCTTTCATTTTAGACCAGGTTATACACGCTTTATTTAATGAGTCATACCACTTTCGTGCATTACCTCTAAGGCGGCCAGTAGCTAGTCTAACAGTCATATCATCGTTCCAGTGATAAAATATTGCCAGTTCATGAACTTTACTGACCCTCTTGACCGTGGTTAATTTCTCGGTGGACGGATCAAATTCTGGTATTAAAGCCTCGCCACATGGTATAAACGCATTGGCATTGATAAAGGGGGTGTAAATGAACGGATGGTACTTACATTAGCTCGAAGTTCTCTTACTTCCTGTCTAATCCGCGCTAATTCATCAATTTGCTCGTTTCGACGCATTTCCTTCGTCTTTTTCTTTGATCTCTTTGAACTTCGGGGTGAGGTGCTACTGCTGCTGTCCGAAGGAGATCGGTGACGGTATCTCTTTTTCTTACCCATCACGCTTCGAACACTCTAAGACGGCTAGCACTCAAACACTGTTTAACTACTTACAAATAACTAATTGCAATTGTTCTTTGTTTGATTTGTGGGCACAGGGGTAGAATCCCACTCCTGACTTGTAAGTTAGGAGGGTTATTTCAAAAATAATGTCCGGCACAATACAAAATAATGTTTTTATATAAGAAAGATTATACACGTACGTTTTTACAGTCAGAGTTCTCTATTCATACTGTTCATTCATTATTTTACATTTCTCTATTCGCAAAATGTTCGCTTATATTATATCGATTCNCAGTCTTAGAACTGACGACCTTATGATGACGATGATGAGAGGGAGTTGTTTCTATCGCTACTACTAAATAAAGAAATAGGTTGTCATTGTCGAAATCTTTACATTAAAGAAAAATGGATTAGATTACACTCTTGTGAGCTTCTCGAATGACATTGATTAGCCCTACGTGCATTATCATCGCATCTAACTTTTACTTGGAATGAGAATCGTGTTTCTTTCAACATTAAGGTTACTGCAATTGTTATAATACATTCCTTCCTCCTTCAATGATTTGACCAGATTTTAACTGAACAAAACTTTATTGAAGAACTTAGAATGAAGAAATAAAAGAACAATACAATTTGTGAACAGCGTTTCAATAACAAATCTCGCTTGCTCACTCAAGTACTACTACTTAGTGACTTCTATCAGCAACTGACTCATTACATTTTTAAAATTTGTTCCCATGGAATAAAAAGGTTCCAAGGACAATATATGCCGTGTACACACTTTTTACAATATACAGGTCTGCAGAGAGTCTAAACAATAACCCGATATTAATTCTGCGAAATGCCGATAAGTAATCCCGCCGACCTGTACATTGCTCACATCTATTACATNTTTTTAAAATTTGTTCCCATGGAATAAAAAGGTTCCAAGGACAATATATGCCGTGTACACACTTTTTACAATATACAGGTCTGCAGAGAGTCTAAACAATAACCCGATATTAATTCTGCGAAATGCCGATAAGTAATCCCGCCGACCTGTACATTGCTCACATCTATTACATGTGTGTGCTAAAACAACCTTAACAATAATATTATAAAGAAATACAGTTCATTACATAAAAAATACAACACAATAGGTACGATTTTATTTTAATTACTGTTTTTAAATGTATACAGACCATAACTATCATTGCCTTCTAAATAAAGAACGCCCTGTATGAACTAACAAACATAAACTTGTTGTAACCTGAACGTGCGCGCTCCGTAGTGCAGAGAGTGGACGGTACAATTACGTGTTAAATCGTCATTGTTTTATAGATCTTGGTTCAGTATAGTGCAATGTCGTCTATGCGGAAGTGTGTGAATTCATCTGACAGTTTCTGTTATATTAGTGGCGAATATATGGCATATAAGCAACAATTTAATATTACGGACTTTGTAAAAAAAGTATACTTTACGTATTTTGGCATAAAACTTGGAGATGAGGATAAAGTTTAGGCACCTCATAAAGTCTGCAAACGATGTGTTGAAGACCTTCAAAATTGGTTTAAGGGCACAAGAAAAACGCTTTCCGATATGCGATTCCTATGCTATGGCGCGAGCAAAAGAACCATACTGATGATTATTACTTTTGTTCATGTAATGTGAAAGGGTATAATTCAAAACGGAAGCAGTCAATTTCATTCCACACTTAGATATTCGTCCCATCTATCATGGGACCGAAATACTAGTGCCCAAGGCCCCTGCTACCTTAGAAGAGAGAAGTTCTGACGAAGGTGGTGCTGTACCTGAACCCGATGACAAGTCAAGTTTTGAATTTGAAGATGACAGCAGTCCGAAATTGTTTTCCTAGGGCGAGCTAAATGATTTCGTAAGAAACTTGAATCTTCCCAAAAACGCTTCTGAGTTACTTGAATCAAGGCTCAAAAGCCGGGAGTGACATCCTTCTGGTTTAGATATCGTGAGAAGCAGTTCACTTCATACTTTGCCCAAGAGGACGAGTTGGTTTATTGTACCAATATTGAAAGTTTGATGTATGCCTTTAAAATCTCATCCGACCCAGTACAATGGCGTATTTTCATAGATTCTTCAAAAAGAAGGCTTAAAGCAGTTCTGCTTCACAATGGCGGTTTCTATGCTTCCATTCCTGTCGGTCATTCCGTACACCTCAAGGAAACCTACAAGTAAAGCAAATTAAAATATAAGGACCACGACTGGAATGTGTGCGGTGATTTAAAAATCCTGGGTATGTTGCTCGGACAACAATCTGGGTTTACTAAATTCCCTTGCTTTTTGTGTCTATGGGATAATTGGCCTCCGAGGGAGCTTAACGTTGGCGAAAAGAACGTCCTGCATGAAATTTTGGTGTCTCCTCATAAAGTTCTTCTACCACCGCAACATAAAGCTGGGATTTATGGAGCAGTTTGTAAAGTCACTTCAAATACTTAATATGAAAGTTGTCAGGTCTCTCGAAGACAAAGTTGAAGGAAGGTGTTGTTGTTGGACCAGCTATTTGACGGCTTATGGCTATTCCAAGAGGTCATAGAGAAATTTTTAGGTAATAACAAAGACCCAAAGTATAGACAAATCGTCAAAAGAATATTAAAAGCATTTCAAGCTTTAGATTGCCTAATGAGTTTAAAAGTACGTTTTCTTCATTCCCACCTCGACTACTTTCCAGAAAATTTAGATGTGAGTGAAGAGCAAGGTGAACAATTTCACCGAGATATTAAGGAGATGAAAAAAATATACCAGGGAAGATGGAGAGTCTCAATGATACCACATTACTGTTGGACGCTTCAGAAAGACCTTCCAGATGCTTCCTACAAGCGAAAATGTACCAAAAGGAGTCTCACTGGGAAAAAGAAATGTGTTTAGTGCTTACTAATGAACGTATTTTAGATTAAAAAAAATAAGTTTTGTTACGCAATTATAAATTAAAAATTTTTTTTTAGTATTTTAACGTTTATTTTAAGATGATAACTTGTTTAACATTAGTACCTAACATTGTCAGAAAACGTGGCGTTCTATGACAAAATGAAAGTCATTTTCGGATTCAGCACACCCAAAACATAAACATTACGCAAAAAAAAACAAAACAGCTCTCAAATTTTTTTGCAGACTTGTGTAATTGAATGGTTTGATGAGCTCGTAAATAATGGATTAGCAGAAGGAACGTTTTTCATAAATACGTTTTGATCTTGGTTTAAGTATTATAAAAGTTAACAGATCATATTTAAATTCAAGTATTGTTTTTAGGTGCCTCATTATGTAGTCACATTTGGTCTGTATGTTACATGGCCGAAAGTATTAACCCACAAACTGCTAAAAGAGCTGAACCATGTGTACGAAGATGTCCTTCTGGCCCAATATCTGTACATCGAGTGGGTTTCCCGATTCTAATGGGACAACACACACCTCTGTCGTTAGTATTTTATTTATTAAGAGCATAATAGTACATACAGAAGGGCCTCGATAATCCGAACATTCAAAATTTATACTCTTTTCGGATTACAGTATCTAGATATTTCCAAAGGTATTTCTTAAACTGAAACCAAGATTTTTGTAACATTCACCTATAACATCCTTTTTGGAATTTCTAAATTAACTGTTCGCGGTTCTTCTTTTTTTTTATTGAAGACTACTCGACCCTACCTCATCCTCTGCTTTATATCCCTACTACACCTTCTGTCCTGACTTATCTGGCTATTAGATACCTAAAATCGTCCACTTCTTCTAATTTTTCGTCTTGCAAACCAGTATTTTTGTTTTACTTTCATACAGTACTGTTTTGTCAGTACCGCATCCACTTTACTTAAATCTATGTCCTTGATAGATGCTAACACTGCTATATCATCTGCAAATCTGAGCATGCTAATCTAATGTAGTGGTGACAGTGTGCATCCCTGTCTGACTCCCTTTTTAATATTTACATTTCTAAGTTTCAGCCCCAGCTCTATAACTGTTTGCTCTTTATCACTCTTCTATCTTTGTAAACTACTGTATCTATATTCTGGTTTGTACTGAATCATTAAAAATATGTATTTTTTCAAATGAATTAAAAAATCCTCAATGTATGATCATTTATTTTTAAAATATCTCTTCTTGTACTTTCAGAGCCTCTGGATCTTATTGCGTTGAGTCCAAAAATCCACCGTTTTGCCCCACGGGTAGGAATATGCCAGGCGATCCAAGATGCTGTTTATCTGATTACATTGGTGACGATTAATATGATTACTGAAGTACGTTGGATCTTAATATTTTTCTAAAATGCTGTAAGTTTGAAGACTGCCAGACATCTCAGCTTTAATAAATTATTTTTGGTAATATACATACATACCTACTATATTTAAAAGGATTAGAATAAACATTATCTATATTTTGTCTTTATTTTCACATGATTAGTTCAATATAAGAGTGAGGAGGTAATGTCATTTTTTAAATATATTTTGGATGAATAGTGAAAACGATTTGAGTTTTCCTGGCCAATCATCCAGAGAAATACAGCAGTGCAACGCCACATTCAATCAGCTGATAATTAACAGCTACATTTCTTTTGTGTTAATTCATAAACTATAACCGATAGGTATAGGGAATCCTTATATCAGTCGACGCAGAATTCAATTTTACGTTTACTAATGAAATAATATACAGGGTGTTCCACTTGAAACAAAAACAACGTAAACGTGTTCGAAGTTTTACACCCTGTATAAGTTTACGGTACAATTCCAGATAGAGATAGCTGATCATTCAATATAGCGACGGTAATTTCAAAATTAGCTGAATAATACGTTATTTAAGATGAAAATGCAATTTTCAAAAGTTTCAGAAAAATCTAAATACCTCGAAATACCTTGCAGACAAAGTTGTACAATCAAAGTCCACCTAAAAAGTTCTCTGAATCTAAAAATGTCATAAAAAATATAGTATTCCATTGAAAATAAGCTAGTTGATGTTGACTTCCGGTATAACCGGAAGTGACAAAGTGACTAAGGATTGCAAATATTTTAATTAGAAAGAGCGTCAGCTTTTAGGTTGTTTGCCGCAATTGTATACATAATAATAAATTGTACTGTATCACTTTAGCAACCGTAAAAATATCTGAATGTGTCTATGTCATAATGTTGTCAAAAGTATTTTGTTTGTATTCTTCAAACAAATATACAGCCTTTTAAGAAATGGCTTGCTGTAGAATTAACTTTAGTAAGCGAGGAAGAAGCTTCTTAGCTTTTATTTTGAAATTACTTTGTTTCATTGAAATAATAATTGGGACAATATTCATTACATTGTCCTGTGGTGGCGTTACTATTTTGTTACAAAACATGGTTTTCGAGAAAAGGGAAATGCAGTTTGCATTTGTTGTAATGATATTTATTGGAATTCATGTAATAATTCATAACACAATAGGATTCAAGATTATTACTTGTTGTTATAAAAAAGCAGAAAGGTAGGTAAAGATTGTTTGCCTTTTAAAACTTAATTGAGGAAAAAATTTATTGCAAAATCATGGTAGGTAAATAATGTAGCAGTTTAAGCAAAGTTCGAGAATGTGGAGTTCGCAATAGTTTTGAGGCGACAGAGAGAAATTGACTAATATTATTGCTAAATTTGTTAGAATTTTTTTCAAAAATGTATATTATTAATTCCTGAAGTTTCTGTAGTTGTTGTTCTTATAGAGTTACAAGGTAGAAATGGGATAATTCGAATGAAAAATAAGTAATGGATCATTAGGGATATTTCGATTTACGATTAATTGATGCTATGTTGTCAAATGCGAATGTCAACCACTATACGAGTAAGTCCATTACCATTTTAGTTGAGTTCGAGCGACGTGCAATGTTGAATTTCAAAATTTACGCACACTCGAGTCTCCCCTTTCTCTACAGGGTGTTAAATAAGTAGCAAGCTTGCAGGAAGTGATAGGGCATTATAAAAAAGTCAGTCGCAGAGAAATACGACATTGTAACACCTCAGTCTATCAACTGCTAATTAGCAGCGCCTGTGTTGTATTTATTTTGTATATTTTTACTCAAATTTTGACTAGTACTTGTTAGATTAGACTGAGTGTGATTTATGATGTTTATGTATCTAGCCTACAGTAATTTCTTTGTTCTTATAACTTTGTAGTGGAATTCACTAGCAATGTGTCAATGCCATAGGTCAGTGTAGAATAGTATTGTAGCGAGCACAAACGTGTTTGTGTGCGATCGGGCACACGTGTGCATGAACGGCTTATCGACTCGCCGACTAGCTGCGGGCGCCTTCTTTCATGTGCGCCTTCTTTCATGTGCGCCGTATTTGTGTGTGTCGTACCTGCGTTCTGGGAAAGCAGTTAAACAGTTGAAAGAAAAAATAAACTATCCGGCTGTTTCCAGAAGGTTCCCGAAAGTAAACAAAAGAGTATTTAAAGGAAGAGACGATCGCCGAAAAGAGAAGAAATGCATTGACCGTTGCAGAAGTCAATCGGGAAATAAATTGACAGTGATAGTAGTGAAACAAATAGCGCAGTGAATAGTAATATATCAACAGTAGTGTAAATAAGTAGAATAATTTATAAGTTTAGTAATAATTTAATAGTGTTTTCAGTTCTTTAATAATTAATGTAAATAAATAGTTTTTGTCGTTATCAGTCTTAGAAGTTAATTTTATTAAACCCACGAACATTACAGTATTATTGCATTGACTACTGCGCGAATTTCTCAACGAACAATTTCCTAGACGCGGGATTGGACGACAGTCGTGTAGCTTGGCCGGCGACTAGTCCTGACTTAAAACCGCTTGACTTCTTTGTCTGGTATTATACTCGTATAAAATAGCGGTACATCAAACGTCAGCATAGAGCACTAATGATTTTTATGACCACCTACGGCCGCTGCAAATGTAAAGTACATCCATTGACAGGCATTTTTGCGAAATACTAAATATTTTTTGTAGTGTACGCACAATACGTCTGTGTGTCCGTGTTTACTGGTGATGTAATTCAATTTTTCTAATAGGAGAACAAGGCTATTAACGAACCATAAATAAAAAAAGAGTAATACACCTTGGCAATACCTTAATGTCGGTTTGGAAGTTTAATAAAATTGCAATTACCTATCTTCTAGAGGATATTAATTGTTCTATTAATGTTTACGTAACGTTAATTTTTTTACTTTTATCACACTAGGCTATGCATTATTATATGTACGGTTCCTAATCCTTCCCCAAGGATATTAATATTTATGAAAAAGTAAGCAATTCTAGAGTGAAAGTTTTTTATTAAATTTTATAATCTACACACCTACGAGACACATTGAATTTTCGCCTTAGAAATACGAGATTTCTTCAAATCTAAAAAAAAATATCAGGAAATATGAAACAAATTTAATTATTGATGACGAAAATCTTCTAGGCTTTTCTGCCGTGGTCGAATTCTGATTGCAGACGTTTCGTCATGCTTAATGTTTAATAATAATAATGATAAACGGCTGCTAAATGTCACCTATCCACTCTTTCCTATCCTGAGCTAATCTTCGCATTTCTCTAAAAGTAGAACAACTATTTGCGAACAGTAATTTAATCTAGGTCTACCTCTACCCCTCTTAACTCCCGTTTCTGCCTTTAATATGTCTCTGACTAAGCCTTCATGTCTGAGAAGGTGTCCTACTAATCTATCTCGTCTATTCCTTATTGACTTCCACTATTAATAATTAAAAATGTAAAAATATTGATTAGTTGATTTTTTTGTCCAAGTATTTGCTGTAACAGGAAATATCAAGTTGTAGAAGTAGAAGTTTTAGAGACATAAAAATAAGTTATTCTAATACACCATAAAATTGTAGCCGAAATTAAAATATACATAAATGCACCACCGGCAACGGATACCACACCATCCATACTGAAACGGACTCTGCCAGCCTTTTATAAGACTATAAATTGGTTATATTTGTAATGAAAATATTGTTCAATTTTTTAAAGGAAAAGCACTCGAACTGCATTACAAATGTGGATTATTTTGGGAATCAACGTCGTACTGCATATAACTGTTGTTGCTATTTTGACGTTTAGAATGTTATCGTATGTGTTCGATTCTCTAAAATTATCATTGGAAAAGGGTATTAAAGAATATTTGAGTAATCCTTATTGGAGAGGCAAAATGGATAAACTACAAGTAAATATGCAGTGCTGTGGTATTAGCAGTTATCTTGACTGGCACACGTCCACATGGATTCTACACTACAATGCTTTGTACGATTCAAACCTTTCAATAAGGTAGGTACATTGTTCTAACAAATTTTCCTGTTTTTTGATTGGAATAAGGGTAGTGAGGAGAACGGACGTATCGAGGTGGTTGTTGTTTAAATAATCCAAATGATACAATGGAGGGTAAAGCAATAAATGTGCACTCTGATATTAATTAATAACACCTTAATGCGTTCACGACGTCAAAGGATCCTTTTTTCTTTTCTTTTTGGGTGTTTCATTCCCACCAGCCAGTAATGCTGGTGGGCGGGCAGTCCCTCCGGACTATGCCGGAAGGTAGGGCGGAAGGACCTCTTCAGCTTCCTTTAAGGAATCGTGGGAATGGGTGGGTGATGGTTCGGGTGAGAAAGATGAGACGGACGAAATGAAGACAGAAGAGAATGAAAGATTATCTGTGGAATATTACTGCCTCAGCATTTGCCTAAGTGACCCAAGGAAACCACAGAAAAACTTGGACCAAGACAGTCGGAGCCGGAATCGAACCCGCGTCCTCCCGAATGCTAAGCAATGGTCTAGACCTCTAGGCCATGCCGCTCGGTCGTCCAAGGATTCAGAATGTACGTTTATGGGAGTGGCTCACTACGGCCCTTGGTAATAATTTCATCCAACAATAAGAGGCGTTGTGACCTACCGGTGGACACGTAAATTGGTAATCTTCAATCAGGTACATAGGCTTTTACGGCCGGTGTCTAATTGAAGGTGAAGAGCTTCTGGGCTTTTCTGCCGATGGCATCTTCAGTGCTTCACAATTCAGCCACCGATCATGCAATAGTGAAACACTAAAGATGCCATCTATTAAGCATGGTGAAACGTTTGCAATTGGAATTCGACCACGGCAGAAAAGCCAAGAAGCTCTTCTACATCAATTTCAATCAGGTAATTTAGTTTTAAGTAATTTATCACTAAAAATATCAGAAAGAAGAAAATTAGCAAAATAAATAATTATTTGTGATGAAAATCCACAAGAAGTAGACTACATAATCTCTAAATTAGAGAGACAAAGCAAATTTTCGACCGAGTTTAATTGTACTCTACCGCTACTACCAAACTCGTACTGGAAACGGCTACATTGATACGTGAAGTAGAAATATTAGTAAAATATTATTAAGATTTGAATGCTTAAAATAAGAAACTAAAAACGAACAGTGCAGACTAATTCAATTTAATGAAGATGTACTACTGAACGGTCTGAAATGGGAAAATATAATAAGCAACTCAAAAACCTTGTCTAACGGTCAAAGCCAAAACAAAAAATAAATGCAGCGCAGCGGAAAGAGTTAAAGAGTCATTACAGTCCAGCACATAAATCTTCGAATTTTTATGCAGTAATTCGGATCGAGATGTTTTCTGCATTCGATTCGTATGACCGCACACTTTATTAACATAAGAGATGAATTCATCTTCAAATATGACCTAAACCAGTACATAAGAAAAATTCAAAAATGATAAAACAATTGCTTTTAAAAGAAATCTCTTATGTTCACAAAATTTGTAATCGGTCTCACGAATTGAATGCAGGAAACCCTTCTCAATCTGACTTACTGCACAAAATTCGAAGATGCAGTGCTTTATTTCCTCGACTATTAAACAATATGAAAAATATTAAAGTGGAAAACTGTCATAAAATTTCATTGTGATAAAAATAGGAAGTAAGCCAAAAAAAATAGTTACGAATACTACTATATAACTTATTGATAACGACCAAAATTATGATATCCTACTACCTATCAATTATGAAGGCGACAGTAAAATGGAACAGCGGGTCTGTGCGTTTGAGTAAAAATTAATACCGAAATGCAGAGATGGATAACGCTGGGCTTCTTTCAGAAATCAGCGGGTATCTCATCAGAGCCAACAGTCTTGTTCTTTCATTTAGGTGACTGCTTTGTTACTGCATCAAGGATAATCTCTGGTTCTTGTATATTTATTGACCCAGAATTGTATCTTTGTTTAGCAATTTAGATATTTTTACTTCTGCGGTAAAATTATTATTATGAAAACTTACAGTTGTTCTCTGTTGGTTTTTACCAGTTCTTTAGTTCTCTGTTCCGTCACGTATCTTTCTTAGTATTTATCTGACCTTTTGAGACTCCTAAGACGTTGGTTACCCCATATACTTGATACTAATGGAGACAGCAACTGCATTTTCTTTTTTGGGTGTTTCATTCCCACCAGCCAATAATGCTGGTTCGAACTACGCCGGAAGGTAGAACGAAAGGCCCTCTTTAGCCTCCTTTCAGGGAATAGGTGGGTTGGTGGTTCGGGTGAGAAAGATGAGACGAATGAAATAAAAACAGAAAAGAATGAAAGATTATCTGTGGAATATTACTGTCCCAGCATTTGCCTAAGTGATCCAAGGAAACCACAGAAAAACTTGGACCAAGGCAGACGGACCCAGAATCGGTCCGACGTCCTCTCGAATGCTAAGCAATGGACTAACCGTCTAAGTCATGCTGCTTAGTAGCAACTACATTTTTTTTGTTTTTCTTTTAATTTCTCATCTTCAAAAGATACCTCCTGAATGGGGGATACGCCGACGCGCCTACCGACTAAATCCCCTCATCGAGTAGAGAGATCAACCCGGAGGATATACATCCCAAGAAAGGTTCAATGGGAAGAGGTTGAGAGCGGGAAGGTAATAAATGTAGGAAGGAAGCATTCGACGGAAATTGATATCAATGGTCGATTGAGTTGTGTGGGCACTCACGCTAAAAAGCGAAACTAGGAATCAGCGGAAGGAAAGTAGCTCAGAGTAGAAGGTGGTAGGTCCTTCTGAAACGGTCGTTTGGTTTAGGGGCGAAGTCGCCAAGCGTCGAGATGGGCGGGTTTGGGTGACCTGACACTGAGGCCCTGCGAACATAATTGCAGCCTGGGGAAGTGAAGGTAGACCAGTTTCTTTCAGAATTTGGATATTTCTGATGAGCCAGGGATAGTTAAGTGCGGAACGAAAAATCCGCATGTAAGTGCCTTGGAGAATGTTTAGGCGGCCAGATGAGGACGGCGTAGGAGCAAATGCTTCTAATAATTGCGTTGAACGCACGGATTTTTGTTTAATGGGAGATGGAGCTGTTTTGGAACTTGAAGAACATAAAGGCGGCTAATGCCTTGACACGGGTGGCAAGAATGTACTTTCGTCATGTCAGTGTTCTGTCGAAGACGACGCCAAGGTAAGTAACGGAGTTGCTCCATTTGATGCTGTGGTTGTTAACGGTGATGGCGGAATGTTTTTGGGGTCCTACGGGAGAAGAAAATTGCTTCCGACTTGGCCTCGGTAATGAAGAATCTCCATGTTCGGTACGAAATTAGTAGCAGGGGCAAAAACATGTTAATTTTTGCGGAGCACTTGAGAATGGTTTGGGCGGAGTTTATGAGAGCGATGTCATCGGCGTAGAGAGTTGTGACGATCGATGGATGGGACGCAGAAAAGGTTGAAGAGAGAAGAGATGACAGCTTGGAGCCTCGGGAAACACTAGCCGTTACAGGTTTGCTTATGGATAAATCAGAGCCTACACGAAGGGTTGTGTCAGAGAGGAAGAAACGGATAACCCTGATTAGGAAATGTGGGGTATTGAGGGCGATACGTTTGGTGATGAGACCTTTGTGCCAAATCCGATCGAAGGCTTGCTGGATGTCGAGCAGAAGCATGGAAGTGTGACGGCGCTTGTTGAGGTTGTCAGAGATGTGTTCGAAAACACGGAGAAAATGATGTGCCGTGCTGTCTGCGAAAACTGCGTTGAAAGTCAGGGAGTAGGTTGTTTCGCTCCACGTGGTCGAGAAGCTGTTTCAAAAGGATGGATTCAACTACTTTGTTCAGCAAACTGAGCAGACTAATGGACCCGTAGCTTAAGGGAGAGCTGAGGGGCTTTCCATTTTTGGGGGGACAGATGACGGTGGCTTCTTTCCAGGCCGGAGGATAATGATGGTGCAGCATGATAGCGTTCGTGACGCGTAGAGAATTCCGTCCGCGCCGGGGATTTTTTCTATTTCAGAGATCGAATGGTGAGGAATATTTCGCGGAGGAATGTGTATTTAAAGTAGGAACTAGCAATTGCATACTTCTTTCACACATTTGTACCCGATGCGGTATGCATAAGCGTTGCGACTGTAATGAGGAAGTGGCAATTTACATAAACTGACGCTGTATACCTACTACTAAAATTCTCAGACATGCGCAGACATAACATAACAACGTCTAAATGAGATCTTTATCTGCACTATTGAATCCATGATACAATAACCTGTATTCATTGGTATTAGATCCTTTTCCAGACCCCTACTACCAATTTAGGAGTATTAAGTATATCGGTTACCCCTACATTCGATAAGCATTGAAACAACAGAAGTAAACAATTGCAAACTAGTTACCACAATCGATATGAGTGAGAGTTTATTTAGTACCTAAGAAATTCTAACTGTTGTAGCTTAAAACAGCCGGAGGGGCTTTTTGATGTACCAGTTGTTCCTTGGAGTTGCTGTAAAATAGATTTTCCTATGCAATGTTTTCACGACCCCCTTCAGCAAACTCTTTCTCGTCACTTATGGGAACAGAAAAACGAAGTAATCCTGGAGAGTATAAATACCATCGGTTGTTTAGAAATAATTCAAAAGCCAACAAAATCAATAACAGTNGATGACGAAAATCTTCTAGGCTTTTCTGCCGTGGTCGAATTCTGATTGCAGACGTTTCGTCATGCTTAATAATAATAATAATGATAAACGGCTGCTAAATGTCACCTATCCACTCTTTCCTATCCTGAGCTAATCTTCGCATTTCTCTAAAAGTAGAACATCCCACATCCTTAACTGCGAACAGTAATCTAATCTAGATCTACCTTTACCAATGTTACTTATATTTGGATTATCTGCAGCTATAGTTCAAGTAAGACATTCAAGTAATTTACTATTTAAAAATCACCTTTTCTCTTTATATAATAAGATTTCTTTAAATATGCATTCACGTGATTAAAATTGCAATATTAGTTCAGTCCTTGGAAGGACTAAAACGTAATCGGTTCCTCTAATCAAACTACTAATTCAAAAGGTGGGGAAAAAATTTAAAAAGGTGTATATTTGCAGCACTTTTGTAAATAACTGCAACATCATTAATTCATTTTACCCCCGTACCTTATTGCAATAAGTTTTGTTTCTTGATTCAATATTTCCAAAAAGAATTGCTACCTTGTGATTTATTATCTTGAAATAAAGCTTGTGCACCCGTGTTTCTAGCTATCTAATGATTCCCTTGCGAAGCGCATCAGTAGATAAGCTATGGCAGTTCGGCTTTAAAATCCCCTGAAGATTCATTTTTTCCTTTCCGTTCAATTTTATTTCCTCCACCCCCACTCTGATATCACGGCTATCGGCCGTTGTCAACCATTTGACAGTTGTCGTCGTCAGCCACTTTTTAGGACTTTGCCACTTGCTCCAGTTGCTTCGCTCCTTCTGCGGATGCTACGATCCCTAAGGCTCCCATTACAAAATGACATAAGAATAAGTTAGTCAGGTTAGGTTAGGTTATTGTTTCGCAATCGCCAGGTGCAAGCAGCACTGGCGTTATGTTACCTAAGTTAACCCTACACCGAAGTCTACGAGTACCAGAGATACTATTAGGATCTGCGACAGTCTTCCCGGAAGAAGGGTGAATCCAGTGTTTAGAAGAAAAACTTACCTGGTGCTTAAGTTCCGAAAATTTACTTCGCCATGGTATTCAAAGACGAAGATGATGATACAGTACGGTGAAAAAGTCGTTTCACTAACAAATATTCTTGATTATTTGAACTGCAAGCTAACACCTACTTACCTAGTGGCTTAGTAGGTCAGTTAGCAACCGTTTAGATAGCGGAATTAATAATAATCCGGGAGTCGGGAGTCGGATTTAAGATCCCGCAGATACAAGGCGATGAGGCAGCTTACAGTCATTACTCACCCTGTGGTAGTTTAATGCTATTTCTACTTTCCCCGATTATCTAATAACGCAGGCTAAGATGATTAAGATCATAAAGTCGTCAATCCTAAGACTGGTTGGACACAAACCTCTACTCTTTCATATGCCCAACTAAAACTAGAACGTCCCACAGCCTTAACTAATTGCGAACAGTCTAATCTAGGTTTACCTCTACCCCTCCTAACTTCCGTTTCTGCCTCTAATATGTCTCTGATAAGACCTATCTCGTCTACCATAGAGTCCTCTGTTCTCCTATTCTTCCTAATACCTCTTCATTTCTAACCTTCTCTATCCACGGTATCCTCATCATTCGCCTGTAACACCACATTTCGAACGCTTCTAACCTTTTATTTTCCGCCGCGCCCACTGTCCATGTTTCGTAACCGTACATTGCCGTGCTCCAAGCATACACCTTTAACAACCTTTTTTGAATTTCTAAATTAACCATTGGCGATCATATAAGTGACTTATTTTTATTGAAGGTGACTCGACCCTGTTTTATATCTCTACTGCTCGTTCCGTCCAGACTTATCTGACTTCCTAGATACCTAAAATCGGTCACTTCTTCTAATTTTTCGTCTCCTATCTTATATTCGCTCTTTCCCTACTTCTTCTTCCCTTGCATACCAGTATTATTGTTTTACTTTTATTTATTTTCATACAGTACTGTTTTGTCAATACCACTTCCATTTCACTTAAAGCTGTCTTTAACTCCTTCTTGCTAGATGCTGCTACTGTTATATCATCTGCAAATCTAAGCATACTAATCTTTTACACCTGTATATCTATCCCTAGCGTTGTACTGTATTTAACGAAGTTGATCGCGTTCTTCGATGTGTAGATTAAAAAGTAGCAGTGACAGTGTACATCCCTTACATAAAATACGTTACTGTATACTATGGTGGAATAGATATATCTCAAAATAAACATATAAATTCACTTCTTTATGAGCAATGCCACACCCTACATAAAAAGAGATTATTTTAAGTAATCGTTTACATCATCTTCTACACTTACTTAAGTTTTTATTAGATTCAATAAAGATTTATAGTGGCCTAGGCAGCTAGGTTTCGATCACTAAACTGGTTACACCGTTATCGAACTTTCGCATCCATTTGATTATCGCAGTCCTGACGCTACCTAAGAAAAAGTCAGGTGATATCTCCGTGTGAAGTTTGAAGAGACAGCTAATATAAAATGAAAACTGTTTTTCAAGATAAATTTACAGCTTCGGATTATCAGTAAATCGTCTACTTACTTATCGTCGACAATAAGTCATCATGAGAGAGAATCACTAACGCTTAATAGGTAAGTATTATTTTAAAATCAAAACTTTCACGAAACATGCAACATTTTCAAGGATTGGATGAGTTACCGTTATAAAATTAAATGAATTCAACTAAGTACCACTTGACATTTAAAACAGTGACAGTTAAACATTTAATTTGGTGTATTAAATTCTTTTTTAAATTCTAATCGTATATATCGGCAAATAAAATGGCTGAAGGGCAGGGTAAAGGAAACGTTAGCCTCTCACAAACAAATCCGGAGGTATTTACTGCAGAGCCTAGGCCAGGAGGTTATGTTAAAGCAACTAAGACTTTCGCAGACGACAGTTCATCTAGCGAAAGTTCTAGTAAAGTCAGCAAGATTGGAAGTACTGGGTCAAGATGTACATGCAAAGCAACCAACGCACCTGAATCAACGGATGACGGGGTAATGACGCCTAGGTATGATTATTTTAGTAAAACTTTAAAGCATTTACTGTTGAATATTAGTCTAATACTACCCGACATACTTTATTTAAGGGACACATATGTTTAATTTAGTGTTTAGTGGCACAAGATTTTAATCTTAATATACATAAATTACGTGTCACGTTGTTTGTCCGCGATGGACTCCTAAACTAGTTCACCGATTTTAATCAAATTTGTACACCGTGTGCAGTTTGATCCAACTTGAAAGATAGGATAGCTTACATCTCAATTTATGATCGCAATATTCAATAGATGTCAAACTTCCAAACGTTTCATATAAGCTACAATTTTAATAGCATGACCACCACATGTTGCTGAGGCTAAAGTATAGGTTAAATTTATTTTGTAGTAAACGAAATACAGTGAATTTTACTTTTTCAATTTTTGGTGTTAACATAGCCGGCTACGTCTTACTTAGACTGAAGTATAAATTAAATTCATATTATAGTGAATATAATACAGTGAAATTACTGGTACTAGATGAAACAAATTGAGTTTTTGGGTAGTACTCTATATCATTTGCTTACGTTAGTTGCGAATGTTTCGCCATGTTTATCCGAAGACATCCTTAGTGCGATTCATATCATGATCAACTGCTAAATCATTTTTTCAGCATGTTTTGTAAGTTGATTTTATTTACAAGTTATTGGGATTTGATGTAGGCATCCGGTTAGAAATACTTTATCATAACAAAACAAGAAACGCTAATTCGACATGCTGACATGACGTTTCAGTACTACAGAGACAAAACGTTAAATGGATTCCACGAACATTACTTTATACTGAACATTTCTGAAATAAGCGCCGATTATTGAAGGGTATCTACTGAATACAATAAGAAATTGCATTGTGATTTTAGCAGCGTAGTTAAGGAACAGAAAGAGTTTTTAGAAAATCATACATTACAATCCAAAGCCGGTTCTGGGCGTAATTTGGTAACGTAGCGTAATTGCGAAAAGAACTGCTACATCGATTGCGATATAGTTGGGGGTACCTACATAGTTCTGCCGCAGAAAGCGCAATTGATTACGACAACCTTCTCATAGTAACACACTGACCTACATACTACCACAATGACTGAAATACTTTATCAAACTGTACATCAATTTAGATTAGGTTAGATTGCGATAAAGCAACAAATAATTACGTAAATATCTTGAATCGAACTTAATCTGTTCCAACATGTAACAGACCAAAAATTTAATAGAAAAACATTGATTCTGCTAATTGCCAACTGATTGATTAAACCATGAGGACTCACACCAAATACCACAGCACTTCGAAGAAACGCGAACACCTCTATGAGCATACTCAGCGCAAGACTGTCTTACGTTACGTTTTTCTCGAAGTATCACAGTCTCCCCTTTAATTTTTATTTTTTACCAACTGATTGAATGCGGCGTTGCGTTGTCGGTAAACTTTTGAACCTGTAAGCATTTACGTCTATCGTCCACTTATATTGTGGGCATATTCAGCGCAAGACTGTCTAACGTTACATTTTTTTTTCCAAGTGTCACAGTCTCCTCTTCAATTTTTATTTTTTACCAACTGATTGAATGCGGCGTTGCGTTGTCGGTAAACTTTTGAACCTGTAAGCATTTACGTCTATCGTCCACTTATATTGTGGGCATATTCAGCGCAAGACTGTCTTACGTTACATTTTTTTTTCACAAGTGTCACAGTCTCCTCTTCAATTTTTATTTTTTACCAACTGATTGAATGCGGCGTTGCGTTATCAGTGAACTTTTGGACCTGTAAGCATTTACTTAATTTCAAGTTTTATGGTGCCCCATCGCAAGCTCGTGTTTATGGAATAAGTGCGTTATTCCAAAAACACCATGTATAGGTACACATGCACTAAAATGTTTTCATGAAATATAGATGTTTCCAATTGAATCAAATTGATATATACTTACCTATTTATGTTTCATTTACAGTTATCTTCTCTTGAAAAAGTTATCACAATCGAGAGTTTCTGAAGATCCTTGTAAAATACCCACAGACTGCTCTTTGGATGAAAGCTCATCACGACCTTTAGACCCAAAAATCCAGAGTACAAAAATGCTCGCAATTACTATAAGTTGCGTAATGCTTTTGGCTTCACAAGCAGATGTATCCCTTGAGAATCTCACAATCGCAGAATCTTACCTTGACTGCATGAGAGATGAAAATGGAGACTATCCTCCTAATATTGAAGGAATACTGAAAAAAATATGTGATCTAAAGAAAAATAAATCACCTCAAGAAGATACTCTACCTAAAGCCGTGGAAAGTACACCCTGTGATAGAAGGGTTGAGTTCAAGAAGGCTGAATGTCCAAAGCAGAAGAAAATAGTTCCTAAAGTTTCAAAAGCACAAAAGTACTCCCACAAAAAATAGAAAGCACTGAAAATTTTACAATTCCTACTTTTAATATATTTAGAAAAAAGTACTGGTAATGAATACAGTCATATAAAAAGGGTAGTTGACGTTCTTTTATTCATATATAGGAAGAAGTGGGGGAATTGGGAACACTTAACTTCCAAAACTCAACAGTAATAGAAAAAAGTCATGATCGACTTTAAATGTAAAATAAGCATTTCCTACAAAATTTTTTTTAAAAAATTAACATTTTATTAGAAATATGAACAAAAGCAAAAACATTGCTGATCCATTTTACCCAATACCGAATGGGATAATAGGGAACGGCACAATTAAATCTACAATGAACTATCATATCACTCACGCAACCTTTACTAGTCTCACCGATAGTGCATTATTCATGTGCCCAGAGTTTACAAATGACGCACATGATCCAATCTTCTGTCGGTGGAAATTCATACTTTTCATTGCACGTTTTACAGTAAAACCCCTTTTAGTTTTCCTTTTAAAGCCTTTGTCAAATATGAAATATTAATCTGAAAATTAATTTTGAATTTGTTACCCACTACACGCTACCTCAAATTAATGAGGGAAAAATTGTTGCTATTGTCACACCCCCGCCGGGAATCGAACCCGGGACGAATGTTCTGACCACTAAACTACAAGAGGTGAGAGGTAGTGGGTAAAAAATTCAAAAATGAATTTTCAGATAAATATTTCTAAAAATTGTTTAATTTGTACCTTTGTCAAATTTCTGACTCGTTTACCCTTAACTCGAAGCCAATTTTCATTGGTGAATTGGCTAAAATCTGAATTTGCTTCTCATTCTGTTGCTTAGGAATGATTCCTGATTTAGGGAATTGATGATTTCGGCAAGAGCAACAGAAATGAATGGAACAGAAGTATTATTGGTAATGTTCAAATCGTCATCTTCAGAAATTGAAGTGACATCCTGCGTTGGTGGTTGACTCTGGCTGACAATATTCAAACTTTGTTCAGGTATAATCATCACATTTTTGAATCAGGGATTAACCAAACACCGTATTTTCAAAGCTCTCTTCAAATTTGTCAGGATCATCAGGTTGAATTCCAACGGTTCTAAATCCACTGACAGCATTGCTTATGTTAGCTATCTTGTTTTACGCCTTTGTTAAATTTTCCGGCCTAGTATTGGTTTATTCATTTACCAGGATTGTTAACCATGTAAAGCTCACATTGTTTATTGTATGCTATCTTCAGTGAACTGCAGATTGTAAGACCAAGGGGCTGCATTTTGTGAGATACATGGAGTGGCAAGTTGTAGGTTATGTTCTCGAAAAAACTCGTATGGTCCCAGGCTGATGTGAGTTTCGTGATTGTCGAGTATTAATAATACTAGTTCTTCTTTGGTAATTTTCAAAAAAAAAAAATGAAGTGACGCAAGTAATCAATAAATATGGACCCATTTATCCAACCATGGTAATCATGTCGCTGTTAGAGCCTTTAAGTAATAATTCGCTCATTTTATTTCTTTCGAAGGTAAAGATAGGGTTTATCCCTATATTCCACTAGCGCTGACAGTACAAACTAC